CTTTTTATTCTTATTTTTATTTTTGAGACAGAGCCTCGCTCTGTTACCCAGGGTGGAGTGCAGTGGTGCGATCTCGGCTCGGTGCAACCTCTGCTTCCCAGGTTCAAGCGATTTTCCTGCCTCAGCCTCCTGAGTAGCTGGGATTACAGGTGTGCACCACCATACCCAGCTAATTTTTTTTATTTTCAGTAGAGATGAGGTTTCATCATGACAGCCAGGCTGATCTCAAACTCCTGACCTCAAGTGATCCTCCCACCTCAGCCTCCCAAAGTGTTGGAATAATAGGCATGAGCCACCACGCCCGGGCTTTTATTTTTTTAATTTATAATTATTAATTTTAAGAGACAGGATCTTGCTATGTTGCCCAGGCTGGTCTTGAACTCCTGGGCTACAGTGATCCTTCTGCCTCAGCCTCCCAAATAGCTGGGACTACAGGCACCCAGTTTTGAGTTTCCTGTCTTATTTTCAATGGGGACATTCATGTAGCTTTAAATGTATATGATCTGACTTCTGCTCCCCGATCTCTTGTTTCTCTGGAGGAAGCCAAGGACAAGAGCTGTTGCCCTGGCTGGGACTCTGTCTTTTGGGGTAGCCGGTGTATCTCTTTGGTATCCTGTAAGGGGGCAGGAGGGGCTGGGGTCCCAGTCCACCCTAATGGTACCTGAGCATCCCAGGGCTTCAGTTTTCCCACCTGTCCAATGGGACCCCTTCTGTCCTCACCCTACAAGGGGCACAAAGGGATGACACCAAACCTGGCAGGAACTTTTCACGAAGTCAAGGGAAGGAAAGGCATTCCTGGCAGAGGGAACAGCATGCCAAGTGTGAGAAGGCTCAGAGTAAGGAGGTTAAGAGTCCAGGTATTGGAGCCTAGGGTTTTGCCCCTTCTACGCTGTGTGACGGTGGGCAAGTTCCTTTCCCTCTCTGGGTCTCAGTTCCGTCACCTGCAAAATGGGCAGAGCTTACCCCTTGGCTGTGCAGGGTCAACTTTCTGACTGGTGAGAGGGATTCTCATGCAGGTTAAGCTCCTGCTGCTTTTCTGCCACTTTTGCTCCTTGGAAAACTCTTATCCATCTCTCTAAACTCTAGCTACCACATCCTTGCAGCCTTCCCTCATATACCCCCACCACTCTTGCACCCTTGTCCTTCCCTCCAGCCCCACTGTGACCCTGGAGTTGAGGAAGTATCTGTGTCCAGCTGTCTCCCCTGACCTCAGGGTTCCTTGAGGCCTCAACGCAGAGGGGGCTCTGGGAGTGTTTGTTGACTGAATAAAGGAATTCAGTGGAAACGATGGTTTGTGCTGGACTTGGGGCGATGGGGAGCCTCAGAGGGTGTGTGAGCTGGGAGGCATGTGGTTAGGGCTGTGGGCCAGAGACCTCTCAGGGAGCCACTGTGGGGGCCCCAGGGCAGGCTGGTGGAGGAGGACCACTGGGTGGGGCTTGGCTGGAGCCCTCGAGGACAGAGCCCCCTCACTCCCAGGCCCAGCTGCTGGCCTTGGCTGCAGCCTGGGGGAGCTGATTACAGGCTCTCTGTGGGTGGGGAAGGAACAGGCTGCTCTCCCAGTGGTCAGAGGACAAGGCCAGGTTGGGGGAGTGAGGCTGTGGAGAGGGGACCAACATCACTGGGGCTAGGCCACCTCCCCCACACCGGCCCCCGTCATGTGCACCTCATAACTGCTAGAAACATGTGGAGAGTGGCCAGGTTCAGTGGCTCACGTCTGTAATCCCAGCACTTTGGGAGGCCAAGGCAGGAGGATCACTTGAGGTCAGGAGTTTGAGACCAGCCTGGCCAACATGGCGAAACTGTCTCTACTAAAAATACAAAAATGAGCCTGGTGTGCTGGCACATGCCTGTAATCCCAGCTACTCAGGAGGCTGAGGCAGGAGAATTGCTTGAAACTGGGAGGTGGAGGTTGCAGTGAGCTGAGATCATGCCATTGCACTCCAGCCTGGGCGACAGAGCGATTCCGTTTCAATAAAAAGAAAGATGTGGAAAGAGACAGACAGACAGAAGGAAACTGAGAGATGAGGCCGAGAGAGACTCGGAGAGAGAGAGAGAGAGAGAGAGAGATCTCTGTCCCTACTCTCGTAGCCCCAGAGAATCCCCTAATTTGGTAGAAATGGGGAGGGAGCTGCTCTGTGGTCAAGTAAGACCAGAGTTCCAGCCCAGGTTCTCTCCTGCCTCGGGTCATCCTTCCCTCTCTCAGCTTCAGATTCCCTCCTATAAAACAAAGCTATAAGACCCCCTAGGCAGGAAGCTGGGGCCAAGCATCCGCTGAACAAATAAATCCTGCTCTATTCCGGCTCCCCCAGCCCCTGCTCACCCAGAGGGGACCACCGTGTTGGGGAGACAGTGTTTTGGATGAGACACCCCCAGTCCTGCGTGTCAGGCGCCTTGAGGAGACCTGGGCTCTGCTCGGCCTCCTGTGACCTTGGGCAAGTTTAAGGTCCTTTCTCTGTGCTTCAGTTTTCTTTTCTTTTCTTTCTTTTTTTCTTTTTCTTTTCTTTCTTTTTTTCTAGTGAGGAGACAGAATCTCTGTCCCCCAGGCTGGTGTGTAGCGGTGCAATCTCGGCTCACTGCAATCTCCGCCTCCTGGGTTCAAGCGATTCTCCTGCCTCAGCCTCCCGAGTAGCTGGGATTATAGGCACGCGCCACCACACCTGGCTAATTTTTTATTTTTAGTAGAGACCATATTGGACAGGCTGGTCTCGAACTCCTGACCTCAAGTGATCCACTTGCCCCATCTTCCCAAAGTGCTTGGATTACAGGTGTGAGCCACTGTGTCTGGCCTGTGTGCCTCAGTTTTCTTATTTGTACGGTAATAGAAACAACAAAATTCTGAACATTGCTGGTCTTGGAAGATGCCTGCTCTCTTCCCCCCTCCCCCCCAGAAAATGCAGGATTATTATTTTTCAGTTGATCTATTTCATCTCTTTAAAATGGTTAAGACAATAGGGAAGACTTGGCTGTGTGTGGTGCCTCACACCTGTAATCCCAGCATTTTGGAAGGCTGAGTAGGGAGGACCACTTGAGTTCTAGATGAGCCTGGGTAACATAGCAAGACCCCCACCTCTACAATTAAAAAATTAAAAATGGCTGGGCACGGTGGTTCACGCCTTAATCCCAGCACTTTGGGAGGCTGAGGTGGGTGTATCACTTGAGGTCGGAGTTTGAGACCAGCCTGGCCAACATGGTGAAACCCCGTCTCTGCTAAAAATACAAAAATTAGCCGGGCGTGGTGGTGGGCACCTGTAATTCCAGCTACTCAGGAGGCTGAGGCAGGAGAATCGCTTGAACCCAGGAGGCAAAGGTTGCAGTGAGTCGAGATCGCACCACTGCACTCCAGCCTGGGAGTGGCTGGATTCCGGAGCCTGGGAGAGCGAGACTCTGTCTAAAAAAGATAAAAATAGACTGGGCGCGGTGGCTCACACTTGTAATCCCAGCACTTTGGGAGGCCGAGGTGGGCGGATCACGAGGTCAGGAGATCGAGACCATCCTGGCTAACACGGTGAAACCCCATCTCTACTAAAAATACAAAAAAGTGCCTGGCGCGGTGGGTCACGCCTGGAATCCCAGCACTTTGGGAGGCCAAGGCGGGCGGATCACAAGGTCAGGAGATCGAGATCATCCTGGCTAACACAGTGAAACCCGACTCTACTAAAAATAGAAAAATTAGCCGGCGTGGTGGTGGGCGCCTGTAATTCCAGCTACTCAGGAGGCTGAGCCAGGAGAATGGCGTGAACCTGGGAGGCGAGCTTGCAGTGAGCTGAGATCACGCCACTGCACTCCAGCCTGGGCGACAGAGCGAGACTCCGTCTCAAAAAAAAAAAAAAAAGATAAAAATTAAAATTAAAAAATTTAACAATTAGCTGGGCATTGTATTGCAGGCCTGTAGTCCCAGCTACTCAGGAGGCAGAGGCTGAAGATGGCTTGAGCCCAGGGGAACGAGGTTACAGTGAGCTATGATCCTGCCATTACAGTCCAACCCAGAGAGACCCTATGTCAAAAATGAATAAATAGCCTGGTGTGGTGGCTCTCGCTTCTCCAGGACTTTCAGAGGCCGAGGCGGGAAGATGACTTGAGTCCAGGAGTTTGAGACCAGCCTGGGCAACATGGCGAAACCCCATCTCTACAAAAAAATACAAAAAATTAGCTGGGTGTGGTGGCGTGGCCTGTAGTCCCAGCTACTCAGGAGGCTGAGGCAGGAGAATTGCTTGAGTCAGGGACAGGGAGGTGGCAGTGAGCCCATATCACGCCACTGTACTCCAGCCAGAGTGACAGAGCAAGACCTCATCTCAAAAATAAAACGTAAAAATAGGCGGCTGGGCCTGGTGGCTCACGCCTGTCACCCCAGTTACGTGGGAGGCTGAGGTGGGAGAATCACTTGAACCTGCGTCACTGCACTCCAGCCTGGGCGACAGAGCAAGACTTTGGTCTCAATAATAATAATAAAAGTAATAATAGTCCAGGCACAGCTCATGCCTGTAATCCCAGCACTTTGAGAGGCCAAGTCAGACGGATTGCTTGAGGTCAGGAGTTGGAGACCAGCCTGGACAACATGGCAAACCCCAGTCTCTACTAAAAAAAAAAAAAAAAATTCGCCGGGCATGGTGGTGTGCACCTGTAATCCCAGCTATTTAGGAGGCTGAGGCAGGAGAATCTCTTGAACCCGGGTGTCAGAAGTTGCAGTGAGCTGAGATCAAGTCACTGCACTCCAACTTGGGCAACAGAGCCAGATTCCATCTCAGAAGAAAAAAAAAAAAAGAAGAAGAAAAAAAAAAAAAAAAGAAGAAGAAAAAAAAAAAAAGAAAAAAGAAAGACTCATTGCCCAGTGCTCCCTCTGGGAGAAATACATCCAAGGCCCTGGCCCTGGGAGAAAGGCCCTGGCACTAACCCCACCCTTGGCCTTCTTCCTGGGCGGTCCTGAAGAATGTTCTGTCCCTTCTCCAAGGCCCCCAGCTGGGGCGTCCCAGGCGCCTATAAAGGGGGTCCCCGCTTGGCCTAGGCGCCACCCACCGCCATGGACCCCCGTCTGCCTGCCTGGGCGCTGGTGCTGCTGGGCCCTGCCCTCGTGTTTGCGTTGGGCCCCGCGCCCACCCCAGAGATGCCTGAGAAGTTGTGCGGCCACCACTTCGTGGCGGCGGCGCTGGTGCGCGTGTGCGGGGGCCCCCGCTGGTCCACGGAGGCCAGGAGGCCTGCAGCAGGAGGCGACCGTGAGTGGGGACGGGCAGGGGCAGCGCTCTGGGAAGCTGAGGTGGGGCAGGTGCACGCAGGCGCAGGTGCACGCAGGCGCAGGTGCACACGTGCAGGGCAGGTGGGTAGGCTTGCATGCGTGTGCCCAGGGCTCACCTGCCGGCTGCGTGCACAGATCATGGATCCCCACTGGAGTGTGTGTGAACCTGCGTGTGAAAGTCCCCGGAGCCATTAGCCAGGCGCGGTGACTCGTGCCTGTAATCCCACCACTTTGGGAGGCTGAGGCAGGCGGATCCCCTGAGGTCAGGAGTTCCAGACCAGCCTGGCCAACATGGTGAAACCCCATCTCTACTAAAAATAATGAAAAAAAAAAAATTAGCCGGGCGTAATGGTGTACATCTCTAATCCCAGCTACTTGGGAGGCCAAGGCAGGAGAATCGCTTGAACCAGGAAGGCAGAGGTTGCAGTGGGCTGAGATCATGCCATTGCACTCCAGCCTGGGCAACAGGGTGAAACTCCATCTCAAAAAAAAAAAAAAAAAAAAAAAAAGAAGAAGAAGAAAGAAAGAAAGTCCCTGGAGCATGAGTCCCCTGAGGGGCCGGAAACAGTGTGAGGCAGGAGAGGTAGGCTCTTGCAAGTACACGATGAGATCCTGTCTTTAAAATTTCTGTATTTTGATCTTCATGAATTTTTGCCTTAATTTTGCTTTGTTTGTTTGTTTGTTTTTCGAGACAGGGTCTCACTGTGTCGCCCAGGCTGAAGTGCAGTGGTGTGATCTTGGCTCACTGCAGGCTCAACCTCTCCAGCTCAAACGATCTTCCTGCCTCAGCCTCGGAGTAGCTGGGTTACAGGTGCTGCCACCATGCCCAGCTAATTTTTTTTTCCTTTTTTGTAGAGAGGGAGTCTCACTCTGTTGCCCAGGCTGGTCTCAAACTCCTGAGCTCAAATAATTCTCCCACCTTGACCTTCCAAAGTGTTGGGATTAGGGATGTGAGTCACTGTGTCCAGCCTTAAAGATATTTAAAAGTATTGCTTTGGGAAAGTATTGCTTTTTACAATTATTTTATTATTATTATTATTATTATTTTATTTATTTTTTATTTTTTTGAGACGGAGTCTCGACTCTGTCGCCCAGGCTGGAGTGCAGTGGCGGGATCTCAGCTCACTGCAAGCTCCGCCTCCCGGGTTCATGCCGTTCTCCTGCCTCAGCCTCCCGAGTAGCTGGGAATGCAGGTACGCACCATCACACCGGGCTAATTTTTGTATTTTGTTTGTTTGTTTGAGATGGAATTTCGCTCTGTCATCCGGGCTGGAGTGCAGTGCTATGATCTTAGCTCACTGCAACCTCCGCCTCCTGAGTTCAAGCAATTCTCCTGCCTCAGCCTCCTGAGTAGCTGGGATTACAGACCACTGCCCAGGCCACCCACCACCATGCCCCGCTGACTTTTTTGTATTTTTAGTAGAGATGAGGTTTCACCATGTTGGCCAGGCTGGTCTTGAACTCCTGACCTCAGGTGATCTGCCTGCCTCGGCCTCCCAAAGTGCTGAAATTATAGGCATGAGTCGCTGCACCTGGCCTAGTTTTTGTATCTTTATTTATTTATTTATTTATTTATTTATTATTTTTTTTTTTTGAGACGGAGTCTCGCTCTGTCACCCAGGCTGGAGTGCAGTGGCCGGATCTCAGCTCACTGCAAGCTCCGCCTCCCGGGTTTACGCCATTCTCCGACCTCAACCTCCCGAGTAGCTGGGACTACAGGCGCCTGCCACCTCGCCCGGCTAGTTTTTTGTATTTCTTAATAGAGACGGGGTTTCACCGTGTTAGCCAGGATGGTCTCGATCTCCTGACCTCGTGATCCGCCCGTCTCGGCCTCCCAAAGTGCTGGGATTACAGGCTTGAGCCACCGCGCCCGGCCGTTTTTGTATCTTTAATAGAGACAGGGTTTCACTGTGATGGCCAGGCTGGTCTTGAACTCCTGACCCTAAGTGATCTGCCCTACCTTGGCCTCCCAAAGTGTTGGGATTACAAAAGTGAGCCACCATGCCTGGCCTTTTTACAAATATTTTAAATTTGATTTTAAAAGTATTGCATTAAAATACTTATCTTGCTGGACATGGTGGCTCACACCTGTAATCCCCGCTACTTAGGAGGCAGAGGAGGGAGGATCATTTGAGGCCGGGAGTTTGAGACCAACCTGGGCAATATGAGACTCAGCCTGAGACAGAGACCCTTATCTGAAAAAAAGAAAAATTATTATTATTATTATTATTATTATTATTATTATTATATTTTGAGACAGGGTCTTGCTCTGTCACCCAGGCTGGAGTGTAGTGGCGTGATCTCGGCTCACTGCAACCTCTGCCTCCCAGGCTCAAGCAATCCACCCACCTCAGCCTCCTGAGTAGCTGGGACTATAGGCACATGTCACCATGTTTGGCTACTTTTTCTATTGTTAGTAGCGATAGGGGTTTCACCATGTTGCCTAGGCTGGTCTCAAACTCCTGAGCTCAGGCAGTCTGGTCGCCTTAGCTTCCCAAAGGCTTGAATTACAAGGCCTGGCCACAAAGTTTTTTTGTTTTGTTTTGTTTTGTTTTTCTGAGACAGAGTTTCGATCTTGTTGCCCAGGCTGGAGTGCAATGGCACGATCTCAGCTCACCACAACCTCTGCCTCCCGGGTTCAAACGATTCTCCTGCTTCAGTCTCCCGAGTAGTAGGGATTATATAGGCACGTGCCACCACGCCTGGCTAATTTTGTGCTTTTAGTAGAGAAGGGGTTTCTCCATGTTGGTCAGGCTGGTCTTGAACTCCCGACCTCACATCTGTAATCCCAACACTTTGGAAGGTTGAGGCAGGGAAGTCACTTGAATCCAGGGGTTCAAAAGCAGCCTGGCCAACATAGGGAGACCCCATCTCTATTTTATTTAAAAAAACTAATGCTGGCTGGGTGCAGTGGCTCACGCCTGTAATCCCAGTGTTTTGGGAGACCCAGGTGGGCAGAACATGAGGTCAAGAGATTGAGATCATCCTGGCCAACATGGTGAAACTCCGTCTCTGCTAAAAATACAAAAATTAACTGGGAGTTGTGGTGCGTGCCTGTAGTCCCAGCTACTCAGGAGGCTGAGGGAGGACAATCACTTGAACCCGGGAGGTGGAGGTTGCAGTGAGCCAAGATCATGCCACTGCACTCCAGCCTGGCGCTAGAGCAAGACTCCATTTCAAAAAAAAAAAAGCTGACGCTGACATTTGGGGATGTGTATGGTAGAGGGGCCGTCCTGTATATTGTAGGGTGTTAGATAACATCTTCGTCTTCTGCCCCCTAATGCCATGAATAGCCTCACACCCCACCCAAGTTGTGACATCCAAAACTGTCCCCAGACAAGTATACCCTGGAAACAAAATCACCCTAGTTTGAGAACCACTGGTGTCAATTGTAAACCGCAGATTGGGTAGGGGGTATACAACCCTCTAAATTTTCATAAGTCCTTTTTTTTTTCTTCTCTTTCTTTTGAGACAGTCTTGCTCTCTCACCCAGGCGGGAGTGCAGTGGCATGATCTCGGGTCACTGCAGCCTTGCCTTCCCAGGCTCACGTGATCCTCCCACCTCAGCCTCCCAAGTAGCTGGGACTACAGGCACGCACCACCATGCCTGGCTAATTTTTGTATTTTCTGCAGAGACGAGGTTTTGCCGTATTGCCCAGGCTGGTCATGAACTCCTGGGCTCAAGCCACGCACCACCTAGGCTTCCCAAAATGCTAGGATGACAGGTGTGAGCCACGGTGCCTGGCCTCAAAAAAGTATCCTGATGGCTTCATGCTTCCCTCTCCTTACCCTAGTCCTGGCCCTGGTGCCGGTATAGAAGACGAGTTTGTGCAGATGTGTTAACGTGTGTCCACATACCTCTGTGTGCCACTCCACTTGGGGCGTTAGGGATCCAGGAGAGGGGGTCTGCAAGGGTGTGTCCACGTAGGGGTGTGTGTGTGTCTGTGGGTCCACCACACATGCATGGGTGACCAGGAGGTGGACCCATAGACACATGCACACCCCTGCACGTCTCTGTGCCATGAGGAGTCTGTGGGCGGGTCTCTGACCTGCTCTGGGTGCCTCATGGACCCTCGGACCTGTTGGGGAAACTGACACCATCTGTAGCTCCAAGACCCCTGACACTCCCTGGGCAGGGCTTGGAGCACTCAGGTGGCATATGGGGACACACGCAGCTGGGGATGTGAGTGTGGACATGAGTTGAGTGGATGAGAGGATTAACCAGGTGCCTGGTGTACAGTAGGCGCTTAATAAGTGCTTTTTTTTTTTTTTTTTGAGACAGAGTTTCATTCTTGTCGCTTAGGCTGGAGTGCAATGGCACGATCCCAGCTCCCTGCAACCTCCACCTCCTGGGTTCAAGTGATTCTCCCACCTCAGCCTCCCGAGTAGCTGGGATTACAGGCGCCCACCACCACACCTGACTAATTTTTGTATTTTTTAGTAGAGACAGGTTTTCACCATGTTGGCCAGGCTGATCTCCAACTCCTGACTTCAAGTGATATGCCTACCTCGGCCTCCCAAAGTGCTGGGATTACAGGCGTGAGCCACTGCGCCTGGCCAGTGCTCACTTTTCTTTTCTTTTTTTTTTTTTTTGAGATGGAGTCTCGCTCTGTTGCCCAGCCTGGAGTGCAGTGGCGGGATCTCAGCTCACTGCAAGCTCCTCCTCCCGGGTTCATGCCATTCTCCTGCCTCAGTCTCCCGAGTAGCTGGGACTACAGGCGCCCGCCACCACGCCGGCTAAGTTTTTGTATTTTTTTTTTTTTTTTTTGTAGAGATGGGGTTTTACCATGTTAGCCGGGATGGTCTCGAACTCCTGACCTTGTGATCCACCCACCTTGGCCTCCCAAAGTGCTGGGATTACAGGTGTAAACCACTGCGCCCAGCCAGTACTCACTTTTTATTTGCATGCATGATGCGTGTTTGGTGGGTCACTCAGTGGGATGTGTGTGCATTTGTGCACATGCAGCATGGGGTAGCGTGTCCTCTGTCATTTCCGTTCCAGTTGAGTTTCACTCTGTCCCCAGGTGAGTTGCTGCAGTGGCTGGAGAGACGACATCTGCTCCATGGGCTGGTGACCGACAGCAACCCTGTGCTGGGACCTGGCCTGCAGCCCCTGCCCCAGACTTCTCACCATCACCGCCACCACCGTGCAGCTGCCACCAACCCTGCACACTACTGCTGCCTCAGTGGGTGTACCCAACAAGATCTGCTGACCCTCTGTCCCTACTGATTCCTCCTTGGGTGCAGCCTCAGAGTGGCCTGAGGCCCAGAGGGTCTGGTCTGGTGAGCTCCTGAGGCCACACAGCACCATAAAGTCTCGTGTCTGCAAGCTTTTGATTACCTCCTGGGATGGGGTGCTCACTATCTACCCCAGACCAATGCCACCTGCAGCCTGTGGAGTCAACTGCAGAATAAATCACACCCTAGCCCTGGCTTGGAGGATCCCCACTTTCACAGATGCTGGACACTGAGAGCCAAATGTCTTTACTCCACAGGCGCCCCAGACGCTCCGCTCCCTGCATGTGTAACACCCCTTCTTGCTGTCTCCTAGTAAATAAACGACCCAAAGCAGCTTCCTGCATTTTCTCTAGAAAAAGGGAAAAGCCTCAGTCAGTCCCTGTGTGGGCTTGTCCCCCAGCAGCCACAGACCCACTGGCACTTCCAGGAGCTTGATAACTGAGAGGCATTGCGACGCAAAGTGGGGAAACTGAGGCCCAGGGTGAGGGCTGCTTGCCAAGGTCACCCAGGGAGGGAAGGGTTAAGTGCAGGACTTGAGCCGAGGTCTCTACCAAGGTCCATGGGAGTCCTTAGCATTGAGGACTTAGAATGGCAGGACATTAGACACAAAACAAACGTCTGAAAATGATCATCACAAAACACACTGGTCTTTTTTTTTTTTTTTTTCCAGACAGGGTCTCACTCTGTCGCCCAGGCTGGAGTGCAGTGGCACAATCATAGCTCACTGAAGCCTCCAACTCCTGGGCTCAAGTGATCCTCCCACCTCAGCCTCCAAGGTAGCTGGGATTACAGGCGCCCGCCACCACACCCGGCTAATTTTTGCATTTGTAGTAGAGACGGGGTTTCACCATGTTGGCCAGGCTGGTCTTGAACTCCTGAACTCAGGTGATCTGCCCACCTCGGCCTCCCAAAGCGTTGAGATTACAGGCGTGAGCCACTGCACCTGGCCCAGTCATTGGATTCAGGGTCCACCCTAATCCATGATAACCTCCTCTCTGTCTACAAAGACTCTATTTCCAGGGACTGTCCCCTGAGGGCAATAGGGAGCCACAGAGGGTGTGTGAGCAGGGGGCAGAATGAGGTCAGATGTGCCTGTTAGAAAGACCTGCAGCCCCATCTCATCCAGGCCTGATTGTCCTGCTTGGATGATGTCTCAGCCTCCCAATTCCCTCCAGTCCCCACAGCAGCCATTTTTAACCATCTATTTTCTTTTTTTGAGACGGAGTCTCCCTCTGTCGCCCCAGACTGGAGTGCAGTGGTGCGATCTCCACTCACTGCAAGCACCGCCTCCCGGGTTCACGCCATTCTCCTGCCTCAGCCTCCCGAGTAGCCAGGACTACAGGTGCCCGCCACTGCGCCCGGCTAATTTTTGTATTTTTTTTTTTTTTTTTTGAGACAGAGTCTCGCTCTGTCGCCCAGACTGGAGTGCAGCGGTGTGATCTCCACTCACTGCAAGCACCGCCTCCTGGGTTCACGCCATTCTCCTGCCTCAGCCTCCCGAGTAGCTGGGACTACAGGTGCCCACCACCGCGCCCGGCTAATTTTTGTTTGTTTGTGTTTTTTGAGACAGAGTGTCGCTCTGTCGCCCAGGCTGGAGTGCAGTGGCCGGATCTCAGCTCACTACAAGCTCCGCCTCCTGGGTTCACGCCATTCTCCTGCCTCAGCCTCCCGAATAGCTGGGACTACAGACACCCGCCACCTGGCCCGACTAGAATTTTGTATTGTGTAGTAAAGACGGGGTTTCACCGTGTTAGCCAGGGTGGTCTCGATCTCCCGACCTCGTGATCCGCCCGTCTCGGCCTCCCAAAGTGCTGGGATTACAGGCGTGAGCCACTGCGCCTGGCCTTTTTTTTTTTTTTTTTGAGACTGAGCCTTGCTCTGTCACCCAGGCTGGAGTGCAGTGGCACGATCTTGGCTCACTGCAACCTCCGCCTCCCAGGTTCAAGTGATTCTTTTGCCTTCAGCCTCCTGAGTAGCTGGGACTACAAGCACACACCACCACGCCCGGCTATTTTTCCTACTTTTAGTAGAGACCAGGTTTCACCATGTTGGCCAGAATGGTGTCTATCTCTTGACCTCGTGATCTACCCACCTTGGCCCCCTAAAGTGCTGGGATTACAGGTGTGAACCACCATGGCCGGCCTACTTATTTATTTTTTTGAGATCGAGTCTCACTCTGTTGCCCAGGCTGGAGTGCAGTGGCTCAATCTCAGCTCACTGCAAACTCCGTCTCCTAGGTTCAAGCGATTCACCTGCCTCAGCCTCTCAAGTAGCTGGGATCACAGGCATGAGCCACCACACTCCTGCTAATTTTTGTATTTTCGTCGAGATGGGGTTTCGCTATGTTGTCTAGGCTGGTTTTAAACTCCTGACTTCAGATGACCCGCCCACCTCAGCTCCCAAACTGCTGGTATTACAGGCGTGAGCCACCATGCCCAGCCTCATTTTATTTTTGAAACAAGGTCTCCCTCCCACCCAGGCTGGAGTGCAGTGGCATAGTCCTGGCTCACTGCAACCTCAATCTCCCGGGCTCAAGTGATCCTCCTGCCTCAGCTTTCCGAGTAGCTGGGACCATGGGTGGGCACTACCATACACTGGGTTAATTTTTTTCTGTAGAGACAGGGTCTTGCTATGTTGCCCAGGCTGGTCTCAAACTCCTGGGCTCAGGTGATCCTCCATCTCGGCCTCCCAATGCCCTGGAATTATAGGCATGAGTCACTGTGTTTGGCCCTATTCACCCCATTTAAATTCTGCTCAGGCTGGTGTAGTGGCTCATGCCTGTATCCCAAACACTTTGGGAGGCCGAGGCAGGTGGATCCCTTGAGGCCAGGGGTTCGAGACCAGCTTGGACAACATGGTGAAACTCTGTCTGTACTACAAATACAAAAATTAGCCAGGCGTGGTGGTGCATGCTTGTAATCCCAGCAACTTGGGAGGCTGAGGCATGAGAATCGCTGAACTCAGGAGGCGGAGGTTGCAGTGAGCTGAGATTGCACCGCTACACTCCAGCCTGGGCAACAGAGCGAGATTCAGTCTCAAAAATAAATAAAATAAAAGTAAAATAAAAAAATATTCTGCTCAAAGCTTTTATTGCTCCCAAGAACTTCCCATTTGATCATTTTCAGGTTTGTTTCCTCGCTATAAGGTGGGTCTGTGTCCGCTGACCCTTCCCACAGGAGGGAGGAGGAGTACAGGGCAAGGCATGTAGCACACAGTAGGTGCACAATCAATACTTGAGGGGAGGAAAGGATGAGCTAGAGAGGGCAGTAGATCCGAGGTTCCAACCAGGGAAAGCAAGCCTAGTAAGGAGAGGGAGACTGCTGGTGGCTGAGATGGGATTCAGAGGGGGCCTTGCTGGAAGCGGGAGGCCAAGGTGGGCCCAGTGTCCAATCCAGCTAAGAACAGCTCTCCCTGTCCCTCCCACTCCTGAGTCTGCTGACAAGCTGGAAGCAAGAATCTATCTTTGGCTGGCCAGGCACTGTGGCTCACGCCCATAATCCCAGCACCTTTGGGAGGCCAAGGCAGGTGGATCACTTGAGGTCAGGAGTTTGAGACCAGCCTGGGCAACATGGTGAAACCCTGTCTCTATCAAAAATACAAAAATTAGCTGGGCATGGTGGCATATGCCTGTAACCTGTAATCTCAGCTACTTGGGAGGCTGAGGCAGGAGAACTGCTTGAATCTGGGAGGCGGAGGTTGCAATGAGCTGAGATCACGCCACTACACTCCAGCCTGGGCAACAACAAGAATCCGTTTAAAAAAAAAAAAGAAAAATAGAATCTGTCTTTGGGGATATGAGCTGAAAGCAATAGGGAGCTATGAAGGGTATCTGAGCAGGGGGTGGGTGGGATGAGGTCAGATCTGCCTGACAGAAATTCCTGCAGCTTTTGCCTCACCCACATCCCATTTTATGTTTTTGTTTTCGTGTTGCTGTCCAGGTTGGAATACAGGGGCGCAATCATGGCTCACTGCAGCCTCCAACTCCTGGGCTCAAGCGATCCTCTCACCTCAGCCTCCCAAGTATAGCTGGGACTACAGGCATGTGAGCACCACCACGCCCGAGTAATTTTTTATTTTGTGCAGAGACAGGATCCGGAACTCCTGGGCTGAAGTGATCCTCCCACTTTGGTCTCCCAATGTGCTAGAATTACAGCCCTGAACCACGGCCCCATGCCCTGTTTTTACCAGTGTATATTTCTACTGGAAAACGAGATTTTTAGGGATGCATGTGGACTTGTCTGTTGAAACTTATAAATTTGCTTAAAAAAAAAAAAATCTCCAAGTCTTCACAAACTTTTTATTCCTGAAGGGGTGGCCTACCCCTCCACACCTGTGGGTGTTTCTCATTAGGTGGAACGAGAGACTTGAGAAAGAAATGAGACACAGAGACAAAGTATAGAGAAAGAAAAAGTGGGCCCAGGGGACCCACGCCGGCACCGGTCTCTGAGTTCCCTCAGTATTTATTGATCATTATCTTTACCATCTTAGAAAAAGGGAAGTGGCAGGATAATAGGATCATTGTAGGGAGAAGGTCAGCAGTAAGACACGTGAATGGCCGGGCGCGGTGGCTCACCCAGCACTTTGGGAGGCCGAGACGGGCGGATCACGAGGTCAGGAGATCGAGACCATCCTGGCTAACCTGGTGAAACCCCGTCTCTACTAAAAAATACAAAAAACTAGCCAGGCAAGGTGGCGGGCGCCTGTAGTCCCAGCTACTCAGGAGGCTGAGGCAGGAGAATGATGTAAACCCGGGAGGCGGAGCTTGCAGTGAGCTGAGATCCCGCCACTGTACTCCAGCCTGGGCGACAGAGCCAGACTCCATCTCAAAAAAAAAAAAGACATGTGAATAAAGATCTCTGTGACATGAATAAGTTTAAGGAAAAATGCTGTGCCTTAATATGCATATGCAAATATCTCCATAAACCTTTTTAGTGCATAAAGAGCAGCATTGCCTTTAAGGCAGTTTTCTCCTTTCTCAGTAAATAGAACATACAATCAGGTTTTACACCGAGATGTTCCATTGCCCAGGGATGGGCAGGAGACAGATGCTTTTCTCTATCTCAACTGCCAAGAGGCCTTCTTTCCTCTTATACTAGTCCTCCTCAGCACAGACCCTTCACGGGTGTCAGGCTGGGGGACGATTAGGTCTTTCCCTTCCCACGAGGCCAATTTCAGAATATTACATGGGGAGAAACCTTGGACAATACCTAGCTTTCCTAGGCAGAGGTCCCTGCGACCTTCCGCAGTGTGTGTGTCCCTGGGTACTTGAGATTAACAGAATGGTGATGACTTGTCACAAGCATACTGCCTTCAGGCACTTGTTTAACAAAGCACACCCTGTACAGCCCCAAATCCATTAAACCTTGAGTCACCACAGCACATGTCTCTTGCAAGGACAAGGTTGGGGGTAGGGTCACAGATTAACAGCATCTCAAATACAGAACAAGATGGAGTCTCTTATGTCTACTTCTTTCTATATAGACACAGTAACAGTCTGATCTCATTTTCTTTTCCTGACAATTCCCCAAGGATGCTCCATCGCAATGCCTGTGAAGCTTGAGTGGCAGACACTGAGGCCTGAAGCTGGGGGCTCCAGGGGGTCACTGGCTCACTCGTCCCCTGTAATCTGTAAAACATACTGGGCAGGGGGGCCGCTGGAGGACCCGAATCTCTCCATTCTCCAGGCAGTAGTGGGGCATGTGCCTCTTGGCCTTGGGCCCATTAAAGATCCTTCCAGTCCCAGTGCTTTTCTCTGAATTCTTGGGGAACACAGGGATGGGGGCTCCCAATGGGGACCCCAGAAACTCTGAGCTCCCAAAACCTTCAAAGGACACTTGCCTCCCTCCTCTGCCCACACCTCCACCATTACAGCATTTGATCCCACAAGTAAGCAGGGAGTGGTCCTATTTCAGCACCTCTCTGGTATCCCCCAAATCTTCTGAGTTGTCTGAGACCCAGGAAAGGGTTAAGATCAGGACCCATCGCTCCTAGGCTGAAAGATATTTCTCACGTCAGGTCTATGTGGACACAGGAGTTTCTGGCTGGCCTGGAACTGTAGATGGAGCTTATCCACCATTAAACCACTGCAGGTACACTGCTTAGCATCCCATCTGTGAGTAGGTCAGAGCAGGGAAGTAGGACTCTGACTCAAACGGGATGGATGCATCCACAGTTGGAACCCTAGCAGAGGCAATTCTGCCATTAGCTGCCATAAAAGAAGACGGATATTTTCTGGAGTCCCTCCAGCCATCCAGAGAGGATGCTGGAACAGTACCAGGTGGGTTTTGAAGGATGTATAGGAGTTCACCAGCCAGAATATTCACTCATCAAACCTTCCCTGGCACTCACCTATGCTCAGACCACAAAGGTCTCAGCTTCCTGGGAGGAAAGTGTCACCCCTTCCTATGGAAATAGGAGCCCAGAGGCTGGGGACCCTGATGCTGACTCAGTAAATCCGTGTCTGTTTGCTGCAGGTGAGGTTGGGCTGGTCAGTGCATCCACATGAGCAGCATCTCATAAGGCAGGAAGCGGTGCACCAGCAGCAGGTCTCGGTAGAAGCAGGGGTCAAAGGAGGACAGGCGTTGTGATGGGGCACGCACACCAGATGTGCGGATGCCGCTGTGGGAGGTAGGCTTCAGTCCCTCGAGCTCCAGACACATACCCAGGAAGACATCATCAATAGGGAAGAGGTCCAAGACAAGAGCGGCACGGCGCACGGCAGTGGCAGTGAAGCGGGACAGCAGGAAGCCACCACCCGCACAGTAGGGTGGGTACCGCTCGTTCTGAGTCACCACCTTCGGCACATAGTACTTGCTCCACAAAGCCCGGATGGGGCCCACGTTTTGGATCAGTTGCCCCACGAAGAGGTGGCGGCCAGGGTCATGGTCCTGCAGGTAGGAGACCATGTTGTCTGTGTGTGCAAAGACGTCATCATCCCCGTTGAGCACGAAGCTGGCGTTGGCGCACCTCGTCTCCTGCCACTGTAAGAACAGCACCTGCAGGCAGGGTGGGCAGGGCATGCTTGCTTGAGGGCTGGAGAAATTGGCCTTGGGTCTCTGTTGGCCACTCCAGTCCAGTGAGCCCAGGAAAGAGGAGTGTCCACAATCTGGCCTGGGTTTGAAGCCCTGCCCTGTGGGGTTACTTGGGAAACCCTCTCTGTGCCTTAGTTTCCAACTCTCTAAACAGGCCTTATCATGTGCCTCTAGGAGTGTTGGAGAATCCATGGAGACCATGCTCCATGAAGCACCAAGAAATGCTGGAAAATTGTTACATTTACATTATTGCTATTCCTTCCAACTCTGCCTGGCCAAGCCCTGTTGTTAAATCATCATTTGTGTGAATTTTCTTGTTTGTTTCTGAGACAGGGTCTTGCTCTATTGCCCAGGCTAGAGTGTAGTGGTATGATCATAGTTCATTGCAGCCTTGAATTCCTGGGCTCAAGTGATCCTCCCACCTCAGCCTCCCAAGTAGCTGGGACTACAGACACATGCCGCTACTCCTGGCTAATTAAAAAATTTATATTTTTTAGAGATGGGATCTTGTTATGCTGCCCAGGCTGGTCTTAAACTCCAGGCCTCAAAGGATCCTCCACCTCAGCCTCCCAAAGTGCTGAGATTACAAGCATGAGCCACCACCCCTGGGTAAATTAATTTATTATTATTATTTTTTTTTTAGATGGAGTTTTCGCTCTTGTTGCCCAGGCTGGAGTGCAGTGGTACAATCTCGGCTCACCGCAATCTCTACCCTCTGGGTTCAAGCAATTTTCCTGCCTCAGCCTCCCAAGCAGCTGGGATTACAGGCATGCACCACCAGCCCGGCCAATTTTTGTATTTAGTAGAGATGGGGTTTCACCATGTTGGTCAGGCTGGTCTTGAACTCCTGACCTCAGGTGATCCACCTGCCTTGGCCTCCAAAGTGCGGGATTATAGGCGTGAGCCACCGTGCCCTGCCTGTGTGATTGTAACACTCACCTCTCCCAGCAAACACTGGGCTTCCCCTACTTGGGTCTGTGTCTCTCTCTTTCTATTCATGCCATCTCCCTCAGCACCCAGCATAGTGCCAGTGCTTCACAGGTGCTAAGTTTATATTTGTCAAGTTGACGTTTATCACAGACTTTTGCAGGTTGTTTTTTGAGACAGTCTCACTCTGTCAACCAGGCTGGAGTGCCGTGGCAGGATCTTGGCTCTATGCAAACTCCACCTCCAGGGTTCAAGCAATCCTCCTGCCTCAGCCTCCCAAGAAGCTGGTTTCGAACTCCTGGCCTCAAGTGATCCGCCCACCTCGGCCTCCCAAAGTGCTGGGATTATAGGCGTGAGCCACTGTGCCCGGCCACTTTTGTGTTTTCAGAACACAGCACGTTGAGAGGCCGTGGCCCCTACCCACCTCAGCCTCAGTTTCCCCTATGGTAACCTACATGGGTTGGGTATCTGCTTGTTGCTGGGTGCTGTGCTTAGTGCTTACCTACTTTGAATCCTGAATTCACCGTTAGGAGCAGAAGGGTCCTCAATCTTATTACAGACGAGGGAACAGAGGCTCTCCAGAGAAAACTGCAGTAAGGTCACCTGCAGGAAAACGGCTACCAGAGGCCTTGAACCCAGGCCTGCCTGTATCTCCTACAAGCAGGATTCCTGCAGAGTTCCCTGTTCCTCCTTGAAAATGTTGTCTCTACTTGTCTTGCTCTACTCAAGGACCTAGGAGGGGTCCTTGGAGTCCCTCCATTTCCTCATCTGCAGATGGGCGGGATTTTCTCACCTCTCCTGGGTTCTTTTATTAAAAATAGAGATGAGGCTGTGTGTGTGGCTCATGCCTGTAATCCAGCACTTTGGGAGGCCAATGCAGTGTGGATGAACTTAGGTCAGGAGTTTCAGACCAGCCTGGGTCAACACGGTGAAACCTCGTCTCTGCTCAAAAGTACAAAAAATTAGCTGGACATAGTGGCATGCACCTGTAATCCCAGCTACTCAGGAGGCTGAGGCAGGAGAATCACTTGAACCTGGGAGGTGGAGGTTGCAGTGAGCCGAGATCGCACCACTGGCACTCCAGCCTGGGTGACCAGAGGCCAGACTCCATCTCAGGGAAAAAAAATTAATTAATTTAAAAACATAAAATTAATTAAAATTAAAAAAAAAAAAAAAAAGACCGAAGTCTTGCTATGTAGCTCAGGCTGCCTGAACTCTTGGGCTCAGCAATCCTCCCTCCTTAGCCTCCGAAGTGCTGGGATTACAGGCCATGAGCCACCACGCCCAGCTACCGTCATGGATTCTTGTCCATCAAAAAGGTCTCGACTGAGCACCTGTTGTGCACCTGAATCTATTCTAGGCATTAGGGACACAGCAGTGAGTGAAACAGACACAGCCCCCAGCCTCATTGGAGACAGAACCAGAACAAATAAACAAGAAGATGTTGGCTGAGGCGCAGTGGCTCACACCTGTAATCCCAGCACTTTGGAGGCTGAGGTGGGAAGATCGCCTGAGGTCAGGAGTTCGAGATTACCCTGGCCAACATGGTGAACCCCGGTCTCTAACTAAAAATAGCAAAAGATTAGCTGGGCGTGGGTGGCGAGTGCCTGTTAATCCCAAGCTACTTGGGAGGCTGAGGCAGGAGGATTGTTTTAAACCAGGAGGCGGAGGTTGTAGTGCGCCCAGATCATACCACTGCACTCCAGCCTGGGCACAGAGCAAGACTCCATTAAAAAAATAAATAAATAAACATAAAAATAAACAAGGAGATGGTGTCTCTGCATTGCCAAGATAAGCTGGACATTCAGCACTGGTCTGGGTGCCTTATAAATGCCGTCTCCTGTAAACCTCACAGCAAGCCCTCAGAGGTGGGTGGGACTCATTCACATCCCATTTTCCAGGTGAGAAAACTGAGGCACAGAGAGGTGAATGAACTCCTCCAAGGTCGAACAACAAGTAAGAGGCAGAGCTTGGATTCGAACCCGCATCATCAGGCTTGAGCTCTGTGCTAGTAACCTAGCTCCTCTACCCTTCCCCCCAGCCTCCCTGGGAAGAAGACAATTTGGGGTCACCACGAGGCTAGTGAGGACAGCGGAGGGCAGAATGGGCTGTGATGGACTGATGAGGGCTTCTGGTTCCCTGGGTCCCTCAGGAGTGGGTGGCAATTTGGACAAGAAGGATAGGTGGCCCTGATCAGGTGACCCCAACCCAGCGCACCTGCTTGAGCGTGAGGTTGAAGAAGGAGTCGTGGAAGTCCCACTGCAGGATGTCTCCGTGAGTCTGTGCCTCCAGCTGCAGCAGCCGGTTGACCTTGCGGGCCTGGTGTGGGCTGGAGGCTGTGCCCACCAGGAAGAGGAGGCGCAGCTGCAAACCCCGCACCTTGCGCTCGCGGCCCCACGTGCGCCGCAGCAGCTCGCGGCGCCATAGTTGGTGGGGGAGGACTTGATCACCAGCAGCAGGAAAACCGGCTGCGCGCACTTAGAAGGTGGCACGTCCTGAGCAGGGGAAAGTCGCGGCAGTGTTTGTACAGCAGGAAGTCCTGAACATTCTTCGGCTGCTTGGCGAAGTCCGGGTGGTTGGCCATAGAGGTGTTGGCCTGGCACGGGGCCCGGGCTGGGTGGGTGGGTGGAGTGGGCCAGGCCAGGGCCTCGGGGTCGCCGGTGGCTGCTCCTGGACCTTGCGAGTGGGTGGTGACAGTTGCAGACTGAAGAGGAGGAGGAGAGTAAAAGCGACGATGGCCAGAATGAGGGTGGCATTGGGCCGCAGGTGCCGGAGACACCTCATCCTGGCCAGCCAGGGTCTGGGGTCAGCCTGAGGAGCCCCCGGGCGGCTCCTGTGGAAAACAAAACTCACTGAACACTCACCTTGAGCAAAGTGCTTTTCCTGTGACCCCCAACACCTGGTTGTACCTGTACAGTTGCTCAGGTTGGCAAAATATTGAAATTCACCCCCCACTTAACTCCTCCACCCCTTACAAGATCCACTTCAAGGCATTCCAACCCCTGTTGGCTCTGACAGGTGCCCTGGCCCTCCCTGCTGGGATTAATTTTTTTTTTTTTTTTTTTGAGACAGCATCTCTCTCTCTCGTTCTGTTGCCCACGCTGGAGTGCAGTGTCTTAATTTCAGCTTACTGCAGACTCCACCTCATGGGTTCAAGCGATCCTCCTGCCTCAGCCTCCTGGGTAGCTGGGATTACAGGTGTGTGCCACCGTGCCTGGTTAATTTTTTTGTATTTTTAGTAGAGATGGGGTGTCACCATGTTGGCCAGGCTGGTCTTGAACTCCTGGCCTCAAGTGATCCACCTGCCTCGGCCTCCCGAAGGGCTGCAATGACAGGCATGAGCCACCCTACCCTGCCTTTCCATGTGAAGTCTTAG